CTCTCTCTCTCTCTCTCTCTCTCTCTCTCTCTCTCTCTCTCTCTCTCACACACACACACACACACACACACACACACACACACACAGATAGCACATTGTTTAGTGTTGTCCAACATCCTGGTTTGGCAAACATCAGTAATAGACGCAGCAATTATGTTTCATTGGGAGTAATTATTTTCCTTTGTTCGTAGTTAGTGTGTATTGGCTGGTATTTTTTTCAACTCATGTGTGTGTTGTGTAACGTGTGTGTGTGTGTGTGTGTGTGTGTGTGTGTGTGGCGGTTGAGTACTTTGCCAGGTATGTCTTTCTGGACAAAGTTGGTCAACGTGATATTGTCACGAAACTTTCCATTTGTGTAAGTGAGATCATAATGAAGGCTGAGTTTGAAGATGAGGCGTGGTCCGAGCAAGGGGCCCAATCCCCCCCCCCCCCCCCCCCCGGTGTGATCACTATATGGTGTCCAGTCTTACTCATATTTTCCTTTCCTGTTGTCATGATGTCACCCCTGTTTCTGTCTTTGTAGGTAAATATATGTTAGTTTTATCCAAAGGGTGTCGTATAGTGAATGGGTGTGTAGGGAGCTCCTCGGTTGCTTTGTGTAAGCACGAACACTCAGAATAGTTCTCAGAATTAGAGGCAGTTCTGGTGAACTCCACCCCAGTTCTTAGTTTTGAGTTTACCCTCAATAATAATGGCAATAACATAAAAGACTTAAAAATCATTAGAAAGTAATCATACTATGTATGTAACCAAGGTTACATACATACAAGGTTGTAACCAAGCACATTTTTCACTTTGAAGCCATTGATGCCTGTGCTTTATCTTGTTTTATCTTGTATATATTTATTTAATGTCTTGTTTTTTTTAAATCGTCTTGTCTTAATGTTTTTATACACTTTTTAACTGTTGCTGCTGTACTGATGAGTCGCCAACTCAATTTCGTTGTATGTTCGTACGATGACAATAAACATCCTCATCCTTATCATACATATTATCAAAAGTGAATCTTAACTCAAGTGCCTTTCTGGGAAAACCCTGAGGTGTTGTTGAAGCAAACAAGACAGTTGTCTTCGTTGGTGTGACGGACAGCTGAAGGTCTTGAGATGGGACACCTGTCTCTCACGTTGTTGTTCAGTTGCTGTGAAGATAAAAATGTCACTCTGCGTCTCCTTGTGGTTTTGTGAACATCACCGCTGATGTGTTGGGTTGTGTTCGTACAGGAGGTTCCCCTTTGCTCACAGACGGGCTAGGTGACATGACATATTATTTATAAATCACAAATATGAGAGTGGTATCCATATCCTCCTACCCCCCCAAAGCTCACTATTTAACACGCCTTTTCTGTATAATCTGCACACATGATTGCTTGCCGTGGTGCTATATATTGCTTTGCCACAGACATTCGGTCAGCATTTCTCTTTCTCCGAGACACAAAAACAAAAAAGCTCCAAAAAAACAAATAAAACAAGAGAAGAGATTAAAATGAACCAGCCCCGATGAGGAAGTAGTCACTAATTCACAGAGCGTTCTCTTCCTTGCTCTTTTTTTTTCTCAGCAGCGAGCAGTCACTTCCTCCAATGAGTAATAAGGGCAGCTTCACACAGACCGGGTGACACACTCACTCACACACACACACACACACAAAGAGACAGCGGGGAGAGACTCCGGGCTCCGATCCAGCACCTGTTAAATGTGTAAGTACAGAACCAGACAACTGGAGCCACGTGACAATGTCTAGCTCTAGTGTTTGTGATAACCGTATGAATTTCTCAGGCAGAAGCCGGCGGTCTTTGCCTTGATCAGACTTGTTGTGTTATAGATTGTGAGAGACAGGTATAGTTGCCGGGGCGGGGGGCGTGTTGCTGACTTGAGTGCGGCGTTGCAAAGAGCAAAGGTTGCTGAAGTTTGAGAGGCAATGAATCCGAGATGTTTTTCTCGCAGGAAGCCGGGACATTAAAAGGATGTGGTTTGTAGCAAATCTGTGCAAAGCGAAGCCCCATGCAGAGAGAGAGGATGCCTCGGGTTTAACGAAATACATAGAAAACAAACGTATGTTTCCTCATACTTAAAAGGTCAAGTTGACACACGAAACTGCAGCAAAAGCTAATCGAGCCATCTTGCATAGCGAGGATCTAGAAGACTGTACAAAGAAGAAATGCTTCAAAGTCTCTCTCTCTCGCCCGGTACCGGTGGCGCCTTCATCGGGTCAGGTGTGATACCGAGTGAGAAGTTTGTTCCAAGTTCTGTACTCAGAATAGCTCTGCTGGTGAGAGAGAGAGAGAGAGAGAGAGAGAGAGAGAGAGAGAGAGAGAGAG